TTACCCTTGTTTCACACGGCTCACACTTGTGAGACTGGGTTGTAGTGTTAGTCTATTAGAGCATCTGCTGGGTGTTTTTTTCTCCCAAGTGTATTGAAAATGTCCTGTTGACACTTGAAAGCTCTTACTGTAGCTGAAAGGAAACAAAAGACCAGGCGACACCAGGCTAAGATGAGGATGGCCGATAGTGTTTTCTGAACAGGAAGGTTGAAACTCCACCTGAATAGGAATATAAGAGTCTAAGCAAAGCAAGAAAAGTGTCTGGTAGGGGAACATCAGGAAGGTGTGAACTAGGAATCACAGATTTAATTCGAAGGTGAATGAACATCCAAAATGTATGATAGCTTCTTACTTATATTTATAGAATCCCTGACAAAAGCAATGAGGAGTTTATTCTGCCTTTCAGTTCAAGATGGCGATGTCACTGCAGAAGGAGCTTGAGGCAGCTGCTCATGCTTTATCCACGGTCAGATGTGAGAGAGGGGTTAGCGCCTCTAGTCCACTCACCTTCTCCTTACCCCAACCCCTTTCAATACATTGCTCCCCTGGAATATTGCTCTCCACACTGAGGTGTGTTTCCCTGCTCCCTCAAGCCTCTCTGCAAAACACTGTCATGGATACAGCAGGAGGTATGTTTCCATGGTGATTCCAATTTCCATCAAGTCGATGATGGAGGTTAACAATTACCTTTAATAAGCACACGCATACAGAAAGTAATCAGGTAAGGTGGATAATGCTACAGATTCTTTCTAACTCTGTCATGCATCAGCATGTTTTTCCAGATAATTTTCTTATTTTATTTATTTATATTTTCCTACTCCTCTGTGTATGTTCCTATGTCGGGGCGTGTGCGTGCCGTGGAGTGCATGTGGAACACAGAGGACAGATCTCAGGAGTCCATTCTCTCCTATCACATGGGTGCCTGGGGTCAAAGTCAGGTTGCCAGACTAGCAGGAAGATCCTTTATTGCTGGGCCATCTTGTTGCCCCTATTCACACACTTTGTAGTTGTGTAGTATCATGGATGCAAAAGAATGTATGAAACACAGATCATAGGGCGATCTACCTTTGCATTTATAAGACCCAGACCCCTTAAAACATTTATGTACGCATATGATTATTATATCCATGCATCTATAATATATGTATAGTTCTAGGTATAGTAACAAAACACACAGCCACACACGTTCCCAGCCCCGGGTTCCAGAACTTGGCCAGGGCTCCCATTCCAGTCTGCACCCTCCTGAGGCTCAGCCCTCCTTCTCCCTGCCTGTCACACTTCCTCCACCTCAGCTCTCTCTTGAGTTCACTGTCTCTCACATTTCACCTATAGTCGGATTTTCCAAAGCTTCTCTAGTTTTATGCTGAACTTTGGCTAAGTGTGATAATGATGCTTTGTATGCAAGCTGCCACCCAGTGTTCAGCAGTATGTTCTTGCACTGCACACAAAACCGGCTCACTTTGTAGAATTTTACATCAGCATTTATTTGATTCTCCCAGGGCTAGAAGTTTGAATTGCATTCAGTCTTCTTATTATAAATAGCGTGAAAGTCAAAATCTCAGTACCAGTTTCTGGCTAGGCGTATTATAGATAACTAAGACTATACATCGATATAAAAACACATAAATGCAATTACTAATTATAAGGTACTGATAATTAACTTATATCTAAGTTCAGCAAGTAACTATTTTCAAAATGTAAATAAAAAAACATTTTCATAAGTGTTGTGATTTATTTGGCTCAAAGGCAGCTCACGAACGTTCCTCGTCTGCCACCTGCTGGCCAATTTCTGACTCAAAATGATCAAACTTTCTGCCCTATGACTGCGTAATAGTAGTTAGTGGTCTCACTTTACTTTTTCCTTATTACAAACGCTGTTTGTAATTATATTTAATTCATAGATTAGTTTGAAGAAATAGTTGGTAAATATTTAAATATTAAATCATTTTATAATCTGCAGATAGCCTGTGAATTAAGATCTCCAAGTTCCTTAAATAACATTTAAAAGATTTTCTTCTTGCCCATCCCTTATCAAACTTGTGCCTAGAAACTTCTGTGGCTTTTGTTTGGATACCTTAAGCAGTATCTCGCAGAGTGCGTTTTCTGATGTTCAAACTGCAATCTTTATATTCATCCATATTCTAATGATGCATCTGTGTGCTACTTTGAATTTTTTATAGACGATTATCCTACTGGTGGCAGTTTCATTTCCTCATCCACTGTCATTTATACCTTTTCCTAGCCTTGCTATACTGGTAGGACATTCCAGTGTGTACTTGAACGCAGGTAACAGGCACTGTTAATAGCAAGTACTGCTGTTTGGGTCTCAACAAACCTCTTAAACATTTTGCCTGTGAGAATATTGTTGTGTTTTATAACCTTCGTGAAGTTAGAAGACTATTTGCCTGTAGCATATTGTTTTCTTTTTAAACTAATATCAAATTACATTATTATTATTGCTATTATTATTATTAACTGTCTATAAGAAAGCAGGTTGAGCAAGCCAGGGGAAACAAGCCAGTAAGCAGCACCCCAACCATGGCTCTGCGTCAGTTCCTGCCTCTGGGATCCTACCCTGTTTGTGTTCCTCTCCTGACTTCCTTTGGTAATGAACAACAATGTGGAAGTGTAAGCCAAATAAACCCCTTCCTCCCCAACTTGCTTTTTAGTTATGGTGTTTCATCACAGAAATAGAAACTCTAAGACACATACCATGCATCTCATAGTAAACCATCAGACCACAGAAAGCAGTTTACCAGAAATAAATTCAATCTCTATGGGTCAGTGTTCTAGACAAGAGGAATGCACCTAGTTCTGGTAGTCTCCAGATCAGTGGTTCTCAATTTTCCTAATGCTGTGACCCTTTAATACAGTTCCTCATGTTGTCCTGACCCCCAACCATAAAATTAGCTTTTGGGTACTCCATAACTGAAGTTTTGCTACTGTTATGAATCACAGTGTAAGTATCTGTGTTTTCTCGTGGTCTTAGGCCACCCCTGTGAAAGGGTTGTTTGAACCACGAAAGGGGTTGAGAACCACTGCTCTAGGAAGAAAATTTTCCCATTTTGTAGCTGAATTTATCTGGATATCTGGATTTTCTTTGTAAGGCAATTGCAACTAGCTTGGATTTTCAAGTGTATTTTAAATCAACGAATAGTAAACAAGCTTACGATAGGGAAGTGATCATAATAATTCTCTTTGTGTTAATCACAATCTGTGTTTTGAGATGGTTTCTTTAGCAATGGAGGGATCTACTAAAAACAGTCGTTAACAGTTTACCCACTCACTTAACTGAATTCATCTGTTTTCCTCAGTTTTGTAGCCTCACTTTCATTGCCCAATAACTCCCGATCTAATGCTTTCTCTAGATTTTTCAGAGAACTATTTGTTGTAAAAGTAAATCTGCTGGCTTGACCTGTCTGCTGTTACCTGGGTACCCTATCCTTTTAAGAGACAAGCACCACCCACTCCCATTTCTCCCCCCACCCCTCGAGGCAAGGGGGGAATCTCTTGCCTCCTCTCCTCCCTCTCTCTCTCTCTCTCTCTCTCTCTCTCTCTCTCCCTCCTTCTCTCTCTCCTCCTCTATCTCCCTCCCTCTCTCCCTCCCTCTCTCTCTTCCTGTCCTTCTGGAGAGCCATCATCTGCCTTCTGCCTCTCTCATCTCATCATCCCCCTCCTTCTGTCTTTTCTTTTTTTCTCTCTTCTTTCCCTCCCCTCACTAAATAAACTCTATACCCAAATTCTCTCCACATGGCATATCTGTCTGTCTTCCACCGGCCAAGGGTACCCTCCTGCTTCATGAATGATAAAACTATTTTCTAAATGATTCCCAAGACCAGTGAAAAACACTGTGCTTACTGTTACATTGGGTAATAGGCTCCTATTTGTAGGTTGCTGTGGACAGGCTGTAGCGTGACAAACACTGTCTCTGACATTACATTTGGTAACAGGCTCCTATTTGCAGGATGCTGTATGGAGGCTTAATAGGAGTAAGAGTTGAATGATGGATCAAAAATGATCAACTGATAGACTGTTGGATGGCTAGATGACCTTAAGGAAGTCAATAACTGCTTACCGTTATGCCCAAATCTATGAAGTCCCCCAAAAGCCAACAAGGAGACCAAGTAAAAGCAAAGAGCCTTTATTTTAGGCAAGTTTGCAAATTCAGTCTCTCTGTATGTCCAACATATTGGAATAAATGGAGAGCCCTGAGCTCAGTTAGAGTACGGTTTTTATAGTAGAAAAGGTGGGGCCAAGGGGTTTCTAAGGTTCAGGACCCCTGATTGGCTGACATTTGTCTAGGGGTGTCCTGGTGAATGTGTGCTGGCAGGTGATCCTATCTACAGCGGTTGGAATGTTAGGCATTTCCTTTGGATGGTCTGTTTTTGGGTGGTGCTCAGGTAATCTCAGTTTGTGGTTCTTCCTGCAACCAGGTATTGCTTCAGTGTAAACTACTGAGACTCAGGCCTCCATTAAGCTTATTGACGGCTGAGTCCTACTCTGGCAGGTGATAATGGTTGGAAGTAAAGAACTTTTTTTGAATGATCTGTTCCTATTTAGCTTATCATGGCTGGCTCCTACACTTACACTATATGTTTTCTGGTTTGTTATCTACAGCACACTATGCTCTAGCTAAAGAAAATCTATTTTGGTCCCCTGAAATGACTATTTGCTATTTTGGATCAGGGCTTTCTTCATGCTCCTCCCTCTATTGGAAAAATCTCTCATCTCCTCCCAAACCTTCACCGCCTTTATCTGGTTTTTGCTTACTCTTCAACTTGAAGGTTACAAATTATTTTCCCCAAGAGACTATTCTTGAGCTCTCTCTGCAAGTGCGATTTTGCTTTTGAGGTGTCATGGCAACCACGATGTCGTTTTTACTAGGATCCGTTGGTGAAGGGAAATGGACAAAGTGAAATGAGTTGATGTTGAAATATGGAGCGGCGGGGCTGCGTCCCCAACACCCCAGCCGCTTGGCTAGCTCATGCCCGAAATAACAACACACAAACTGTATTCATTTAAGAACTGCTTGGCCCATGAACTTTAGCCCTTACAGGCTAATTCTCGCACCTGGACTAGCCCATTTCTAATAATGCGTGTAAGCACCCCAAGGTGCGCTTACCGGGAAGATTCTAGCCTCCGTCCATGGTGTCTCTGCTCCAGAGAGCAGAGTTGTTGAGTCTCTCCAGGAGCAGAGCAGAGTCTGACCTCACTTCCTCTTCCGCCCAGCCATCCTATTCTGTTTTCTCCTCCCATCTATGCTTTAACCTCTGAGGGCCAGCCAAGCAGTTTCTTTATTGCTCAGCCAATGAAATCAACAGATTGATATATGACACTCCCACATCAAGTTGACGTGCCAAAGGTTATAAAGCCTGCTAGACGGCCGAGCCTTGGAAAAGGGACAGGATCGCTGTCTACGTTTTCACCCACTATTTCCACCTCAGAAAAGCAGCACTCGCCTCCAGCCTCACGATGCGTCTAGAGCCTCAGTGTACGCCCAGGGAAGAGGCGTGTCTTCTCTGTGTCACCAGAAGTTGCAGGAGATGAAGGGGTCCTGCAGGTTCCTCGCCGCCTCTTCCGGCCTCCTCAGAGGAACATCAAGTACCAGGACTTTAATCTGAGCCGATGTCTCTTTGTCACTCTTTGTCCTCATTTACTTAGATCCCTTTGTGAAAAAACTCATTGTCCTTCTATTTTTTTTTCCTCTTTGCTTTAGAAATGATTCATCTAGCCGCCTAATCCTGGGACCTAGATCTCACCCCGGACTGAGCCCAGTTGAAGCAGAGCTCCCAGCATTTTGGAGATGTCAGTACCATAGAATGACCACTAAGAACAGCAGCAGCTGTAGAATGGAGCCAGTTTGAAGCTATGGAAAGCAATGTGTGCTGAGAACTGTGGTAGAGTCAAAGAAATTCCACTGCCTAAGCCCTGTGGGGCCCAGAAGACCGTGAGTGAATTCCAACTGTCAGACACAGCTTTTCACACTATTGAAGTTTGGTTTTGCCTTGATCAAGTTGCAAATGTGCCTTGACTTTTCCTTTTACAACTTGCTATCTTTTTTAAATTTTGTTTAACAGGAGCCCAGAGTCGAAAGACTTTGAACTTCTGAAGAGACTTTGGAATATTAGAGAGGCTTTGGAATTTTAGAACGGATTTAGATATTTTAGGGAGGGCTTGAACTTTTAAAATGTTTAAACTTGAAAAGAGGGGAGCAGAGAAAAATGTATAACTCAATAAAAACAATAAAAATGTCTGAACTTATAAGGACTGTAGGAATTTTAAAAGTTGGAAAGTTTAGCATTGTCATATTAAGAAGACATCTTGGGGACAAGAAAGTCAGCGCTGCACTGATACCAAAGACACCATCAAATAGAAAAACTAAAGATCACTATTTTGATGAACAAAACACAAATAATTTCAATGGAACACCTTCAAACAGAATTTAGTAGCTCACTCTAAAAAAACAAGTGAAAACAAACACAAAAAAAAAAAAACAAAACAAAAAGCATGCATCATGATCAAGTTGGTGACATCCCAGGGATACAAAGATGATTTGACATATTCAGATCAGTAGAGTGATTCATGAAAGACAAAGTCGCAGGAACATCTTCATAGAGGCAGAATAGGCATGCACAAAATTCAACATCCCTTCCCGATAAAAGCCCCAAAGAAACCGGCTATAGAAGGATAATACCGCAGTGCAATAAAGGCTAATACAGATTTGTGGCAAACAGAGCTTTGAATGAGAAAACAAAACCGAACAAGTCTGAAAAATGAGGATATTCACTCTCATTCTTATTTGATAGAGTGTCTGGATGTTTAGTTAGAGCAGTAACACAAGATAACATAATAACATAACACAGGGAAGGAAGAAGTCAAATGCTCCTGTGTGCAGACTGTATGTCCTGACTTAGAAGAATGATGGTCTCCACTAAAAGGCTTAGACCTCACACAATGGGACACAGAATAAGGGCTCCTCTTTTTCTTTTTTTTTTTTTTTAAAAAACTTACTTTCTTCTTTTTGAAATAACGTCACTTGAGTTCTATATTCACATAATTTCCACCTTCTTCAGTTGTAGTTACACACACACACATACATGAACACATGTGTATATATATATATATTTATAAACACATCCTGTGGAAAAAGAAGCAGACAAAACCCATGCATAGTGCCCTAAAGTTTTATTCTTATTATACTTAAGGTTTATTCTTATTATACTTAAGAATAAACCAATGAAAGTATAAAACTAGGAAAAAAGAAATTGAAGGTGACATGGGACAGCAGAAGAACATCTCCATGTTCATGTATCAAAAACGTCCCTTACTAAAATGGCCACTTTATGCAGTTCCTGTCAACACACCAAGGGTAACCATTATAGAACCAGAACAAACAAACAAACAAACAAACACTAGTCCTGAACTTCATGGGAGAGTGTCAATTGCTCTGGTGTGCTAAAACAACCCTGAGCGAGAAGAGAAGAGCAGAGCCAGAGGTAGCACAGTGCCTGATTTCAGGCTTTCCTGCCTAGTCATTGTAACAAAATCAGTCTTGTCCTGGCACAGAGACAGACGTACCAACAGAATAGAGCAGAGGGTCCGGAAATAAGCCCACCCCGTGGCAAACATCTAATTCTTGACAAAGAGCACTAACAATAGGTAGGACAAAAAGACATCTATAGCAAACAGTGCTTGGGACACTGGATACCCACACATTGAAGAATAAATCTACACACTAATCTTAGCTCTTCGCGAAAAATCAACTCAAAATGGATCAAAGACCTAATGTATGAAACGAGGCTGGGCAGAGAGTCAAGTGTTTGCTATGCAACCATGGGGACCCGAGTTCAGCTCCCCAGGACCCATTTAAAACTGGGACTGTGGTACATTTCAGTTCTTTGTACATTTTGGGAGCAAGGTCACAATAAGTACTTGCAAACACCTCACCCCGACCCACCCCAGTTTTCTCCCTGGCTTTTCATTCTCTTAGCAGATTTTTTTTTTCAACAGCAGCAGTTCAATTTCTTTTTGCATGTAATGATTGTTGTATCTAAACTCTCGACGCCAAGATTTTCTTCCATGTGCTTCTTTGTCTATTGACTTCTATCAGCCAGATGATGCCCCGTTGTTTTTGAAAAGATTTTTGCACAACAAGCTCTCTGACATCTGGGACTTTAGATAACAAGTTCCCTGAGTAGGCAGACAACAGCTCTGAAAGAGATCATAGTCCTCACAGGGGCAGCCTGGCCTTGGTTGACATAGTTTAGTTTCTGTTAGTTTTGTTGTTTGACCTGGATGATGATGATGATGATGATGATGATGATGATGATGATGATTATCTGGCTTTTTGCTTTCTTATTACAAACTCACTTTGCTTCCTAGGTACCACAAACTCCAGCAGTGCAATGGCTCTTCTAGAAATGTCAAGGACACCGCAGCTGTAGAAACCTCTGCGGTCATCTCTGTTTCTTGCTGTAGGGCAGTGAAAAGCAAAGACTTGAACCAACTTTCCTGCTTGCAGTAACCTGCGTTCCGCGTAACCATGGAGACCACAGGCTGCAGCTGGCCCACAGGGACAGGGGGCTTGGAGCCCCCAGTGAATGTCTAGGCCTTCCCTGAGCTCCGTGGCGACAGGCGACAGCGCAGGGGTCAGAGCGGCCACCAGCTGCGCCTCGGCGTCCGGGCTCCGCCCCGCCCGGCGCCCTGGAACCCTGCTGAGGGCCCGGGCGTGCGTGCGGCAGGCCGGGCGGGCAGGGCTGGCGGCTGCAGGACCCTCGGAGGCGGGCGGCGAGGCATGGCGACGCGGGCCCGCGGCTTCCTGCTGCTCCGGGGCGGCCTGTGCCGAGGGCCTGCGAGGGCCCCGGGAGGAGCGGAGCGCGCGTGGCGGGGCTTCGGGAGCAGCGGCGTGAGGTAGGGGCTGCGGGAAGGGGCCGCGCGTGGGAGCGGCGCGGCGCGGCGTGGCGGGGCCCTGCGGAGGCCCGAGCTGCCTGGGCTCCCGCACCGGGGCCCGGACTCCGGGTCCTGCTGCGGTCGAGGGGCCGCAGTGTAAGGAGCGCGGGGCACAGGGCGGGGAGCCTGGGGCAGCTCGCTGGGACCCTGGGTTTGTTCAGGTTGTTACTGTGCCAGCGAGAGTAGGCGCTGTGTAGACAGTTGGGGAGCGTTTCGGTTTCGGTATTCCTTTGTCAGCGGCGTGGCTGAAGTCTTTTCCCACATCTGAATGTCTTACCGGCTTCACAGAACTGCACGTGAATGCTGGCCTCTCAGCCTTTCGCTGGCACTTGCCAGCCTTCCCCAAGTTGTCAGTCTTTTGCTTTCTTTGATCCCTTTGGGTTTGGTTGCTGGCTAGGACAATGAAAGGACACCGTGGTGCCCAGGAATTGGCCGTCTTGCCTCGGCTTCCCTTGTCTGTGGGACAATCCAACCTATGGAACAATTCATCGTGTCTTGCCCAGGGCCAGTGAGTTCAGAAAAACTCATTTGTCCACTTTCCGGGATTCCAGGTGGTGATATACTGTCGTCACTTTGGCTGGAACTCGCTGGTCATTTTATATTCACTTTGTGTCCCCAAGGTCCAGGATAACACTTGGAGGAAAGCAAGCCATGGCGCGGTGCACATAGCTGTTGTCTAACTCCTCTTCGGATACATTTGGGTCTTAGTCTTTAAAGTATTTCCTGTAGTTTTTACTTCGAAGATGGCTTATAGTGACTAGGTCTATAGAAGGATTTGTGAAAATGATCGTGGTTCAGAACTGTATTGCACACTGTAGTAGTTCCGGAATTCGCTGTTTCGCTTGACAGCGCCAAGCTCTGCTCTGCTCCCTAAGAAGAACGGGTTCTGCAGGATTCCGTGTGTGTTACAGAATTAAAGGGCTTATCTACTAACGGCATCCTATTTAAGTTATTATCCGTGGAATTTCAAGTTTTTAGCACTTCCCTCTAGGAAGGATAATCTTTTTGTAGGTGTACAAGTTGAATAATGTCTCCTCACCCGCACAGTGTCTCTGTTTCCCCGTTTGCTCCGTGCCCAGTGCCTACCGAAGGAGTAGCAAACAACAGTCAGGGTCCCAAAAGTTGATTATAGCCGCTTGCTTCATACACAACACACACAGGCATCACCCATCCGCTTATGGAGATTTCCCATCTTGTAACTTGTGTTTTTTTTTTTTTTTTTTTCTGGGGAGGCCCTGGGTTTGAACTCTGATATCGCCGACACAGAGAAGACATTTAATGGCCACCTTACGATTAAGAGTAGCCAATGCAGTGAAGTGTGATAATGGAAGTTGAGCCTGCCTGTTTTCCATGCCGTTTGATGTAGAGTACATGTACGTGAAAAAAAAATGCTATTTGTAATGGTTTTATTTTTAATATAGCAGGAGTCAAGTTAGGAAAAGGTAGTTTTTTTTTTTTTGATATTTCTTTTGACACTGAATGCCATACCTGTAGGTGAGGTTGGCTCTAGAGACGAGAAACACCAGTAGAGTGGTGTATCTCGGGTGGGGAGGAGTTCGGACAGTGTGTTGATGCTTATTGGTGTCTCTTTTCTCTTCTAGGGCCAGCAGAGAGAAGAGATTCCATCTTCCAGAGGTCGCCACTGTCTGCCTCCCCACTCAGTCATCTTTTTTAGTGATGCTTTCTTTGTTTGGTCCCTCACAGTGATTGTCACACGTTAATAGCATTCCTATTGACATGAAATTTGAATCATAGTGTATTTTCATTGGAAATTATCCTTGAATTTGATAAACTCTTTCCTCAATGATATTAACTATTTTAAATGAACAAATTTATCACACTTTTGAGCCATTATACTCTTCGATAAAAAAGATTTTTATTTTTTTTTTGTATTTCTTGTCTAAGTAGATAACTATAATAACAGAACTTTTTTATATGGAGGGTTATTTTAGTAAGCTGAATTTCAAGAATAATATTTGATAGAATCTGGAAGCTATATGATCTCATAATATTATTTACCATTTATCCCCTGCAACAGTTTTCCTTTAAAATTCATCATGAGTTATTTCTGTTTATGCATGAGAAATTAGAGCTTAATAATGGAGGGAATTATTAAAAATGGAATCCCCTGAATTGCTCCCTGGTGCTTACACTGCTGCCCAGTGGTTTCTCAAGCCAAGGGTTTCGTAAATTCTCTTTTTGGTCTTGAAGCATCTATAAAATTTTGAAGCATCTATAAAATTTTGAAAAGCCAGCCGACAGCTTTTCGTATAGCCTCACCTTGCTTTACACTCCACTGTTGAGAGCTTTAGAATCTGTGCTGCAAATCTAGTGTTTAAAAAGCCCCCATTTGGGGAATCAGTAAAAGATACTGGTGTATGTTATTTAACTAAGTTTGAATGGATAGTCTAATAACTTTAAAAAGACGGGTTTTCATGGTAACAGTGTTCACACCTTCAGACTCTCCATCTGAGTACCTTCCAGGATTTACATAGAGTTATTATTTGGTAAATCCCCCCTGACGCTTGAAGGACCTAGGCTCTAATTAGGACTATTACGAACGCTAATTTTATATAGATTGATTTCAGTCAAGAGAGAGCTAGTCATAAAGGTTACCAATGCAGTTTCTCAAAATCAGGCTGTTTTCTTAGCAAAACTGATCTTTATTTCTCGTTCAACTTTAGTTATCTGGCTACAGTTTTGTTTTTGAAACCAGTATGCTGTTTTTTTTTTTTTTTTCATTTAGAAACTAAAGCTAAATGTTGCACCATTTGGTGTCTCCTATTTAAATTTCATCTTTTCAACTAGGTCCCAGCTGCCCAGAGATAGCTTACTAATGCGGCATCTTCACAATCAGGTTTTCAGATTAGCAGTGTTACGTCATGGGCCTGCCCCTTTGAAACTCTGGTCACTTTAAGAGGCCAGAGCCCACAGCCTGAAGAAAGCAGGCCACACCTCCTGCAACCCTGTGGGACAGTAAAGAAGTCCTGCTGTACTGTGTTTTCTTACCTCCCAATCTGTGGTCCAGACCATGCCTGACTTCTTTATGCTCCTTATCAAGTAAGCTGCCTGAGATAAAACCTTGTGCGGTGAAACTTCCTGTCAGCCCTAAAAGGGTGTGAGAAATAGAGTCTCTCTCTCTCTCTCTCTCTCTCTCTCTCTCTCTCTCTCTCTCTCTCTCTCTCTCTCTCTCTCTCTCTCTCTCTCTCTCTCTCTCTGAGTTTTCTCTGAAGCTCCTTGTAAGTCCCCCTCCCTATCATCCTGCAGAAGGGATGGCTCTCTAGCCTTTTTGTACCTTCCAGATTGCAAAGAAAAGCCTCTTCTACACCTTTTATAAAAGACCCCATTTGTGTTGTCTCTGATGCACTTTACTGTCCTGTCACACACACATATGTGTATGTGTGTGTGATATCATACATGTATGTATATGTACTTGTTTTCTAAAGTGATATTTGTTTGTGGCCTTGAAAATTCTATGCAAGTATAATAACCAGAGAACTACATCCTCAGATTACAAAATATACTTACTTCTCTGAGCCAGGTCTCACAATATTGCTCTGGCTAGCCTGAAACTCTGTATTGGCCAGTCTTGCAGAAATATGACTGCCTGTGCCTCCTGAGTATTGGAATTAAAGGTTTGTACCACTGTGCCTGGCCAAAATACACATTCTTAAACTCTAAGTATAAACAGGTTTATACCAATTTTCTTCCATTCCTTTAGTGGAGCATCCCATGGATAGAATTGCGGGAATCCATAAAACTGGAAGGGAGGTCACTAACAGTGATCAGTTCAGCATTTCTTTCCTTGTAAACGTTGGCAACAGATGACACTAATATTATCATCGGTCAGTACGTGTGAGGTTACTAATACACAGAAATATTTTAACATCACAATGGATAAGATACCATAAAACATCATCTATACTCATTACTTTGATATTACTGCACTTACTGTAAGACTTGCCCCTCATGCCATCTCAAGAAAACTGGCTTCCCTTGTAACTGTGTATTTGCATTTGAAACCATTCCTCTGAGAAAGTACCAAGACTTCTGCAGATGAGCCAGGCGTTCTCATGGTGATCAAGTCTTTTCTGGAAAAGTAGGTATATAAAAATATGTAATATTTTTTTGGTAATTATTAATCTTTGGTTAGATTTTAGGGTTCTAAAATGCCAAGCAACAAAATTGATATTGGAATGAATCATACATGATGAGCTTGCTTTACTTTACTTATTTTTTTTTTTTTGATTTACAAATACATGACTTTTGGTAAAATAGCTTCGAGGTTTGAGTGAAATACTTATGGTGGGAAATAAAATGCCTATAAAAAGGTCGTGAACTTAACTTTTCATTACTATTTGTTTACTTTAAAAATATCCCACAAAAGGCTCAGTGTTATTGTGCTCTGAGCAGGATTAGATTTATTCCATATCTTACTTTGCCTTGGTTCTCTTGAATATTTTTTAAGGCAAATTTCAAATACCCATGTTCTGCCTCAGGACACACAGGGATTAAGACAAACTCATGGAGACCTTAGAACTGTTATGATGGCTTTTTCACCTTAGAGACCCTAAAGCAGTTCACAGATGCTCCAATTAAAGTTCTAATTAAACATGGGTTTGAAATGAGGATTAAGAACTTGTCAAGTGGCCAAATTAAATGTAGCGTTGATAATGACTAAGGTTTATTTTCTGGTACCTATGGAGGAATATGTTGATATGCAAAGAGTTCATTTTCTTGTCTACTGCTCTGCTCTGGTTTATTATACATTATGTTTGGTTATAGTAACCCTTTTAAAAGGAAGACAAATAAACATAGAAACATGGATGACTTCTTGTCTCATATTGCTCCAGCTGATGTGAATGTGTCTCCATTATTTAAGAGAAGTAGGAAGTAGAACCACTTATGTAAACTTGCCAGTCAACTCTTAGTCTGATTTTGTAAGGTCAAAGGAGCATTCT